AGCATTCCTTGCAGGCTCCCCCCCCCTCCCACCCACCCCTCCGTCACCTGCTGCCCCTCCGTTGACCACCCCAAACCTCTGGCTCCAAGGGGCAGAGCCCCAGGGACCCTCTTGTTGTTCCAGTCTTGGCCAAACCCTGTCCCAGAGGTTCATCAAGGCTCCCATCAGCTGGGAGTGATGGTGACCCTAAGGCATCACCCCTTCCCCGCTGTTTCTCACCCGGTTTCTTTGCCCTCACGGGCACTGCCAGATCCAGGCTTGGTGGCACCACTGCACCATGGTGTGGGCAGTGACCTCCTGGGGACAGCAATGTCCCTAGAGGTGTTCAAAAGACCGGTTGACATGGTCCTCAGGAATATGGTTTAGTGGTTTGTTTTTTTCTTATTTATTTTTTGTGTCAGAGTTAGGTTGATGGTTGGACTAGATGATCTTTAAGGTCCCTTCCAACCTAGACGATTCTATGATTCTAATGTCCCTCTCACCAGCTGCTGCCACCCTGCAGGTGATGGCAGCATCCGTCTGGTGAGCGGCACGGACACCTGCCAAGGCCGGGTGGAGATCTTCTACCGGGGGAACTGGGGCACCGTCTGTGACGATGACTGGGGCCTGAGCGACGCCAGCGTGGTGTGCAAGCAGGTGGGCTGTGGCCAAGCCCTGGATTACAAGAGCAACGCTTATTTCGGCTACGGCACAGGCCACATCCTCCTGGACAACGTCAACTGCGATGGCAGCGAGCCCTTCCTCGCCGCCTGCTACAGCCTGGGCTGGGGCATCCATAACTGTGGCCACCACGAGGATGCTGGGGTCATCTGCACAGGTACTGGGGCAGAGCATCACCTGCCTTTGGGGTTGTTCCCAGCGTGGGGGGCAAAAATCCTGGGACATCCTGTTCTCCAAGGAGAAATGGCCACAGAGAGGTGTCCCTCTGTGTCACCGCAGGGTTGGACAGGTCCACCATCACGTCCTTCACCACCTCGGTGGCCCTGGACTATGAAGAGACCCTCACTGCCACGGCCACAGGTAGGAGGTCCACAGCCATCCAGCCCACCCTTGCACCGCAGCCAGGGCTGGGGGCTTACTGGGGGACACTGTCTTCTGTGTCCTCCTGGGACTCCAGCATGGTCACCCTGGGCTCCTGCCACATGTAAGTGAGGCTTGGGAGGTGACATTACCCAAGGCAGGAGCTTGCCATGGGGTGGCCATGGGGCTAGAGGCCCCCAGCACCAGCCAGGTTGGGGGCAGCCAGGCTGGAACCCCCAACGCCCACATGTCCCCATGCTTGTCCCAGCAGTGACAGACGGCAGGGACCAGCCCTCCTTGGCCACCGAGGTGGTCACCACCGCTCTCCTTACCATCGAGCAGGAAAGTAAGTGTGTGGCCACTGCAAGTCCCACACAGGGTCTGGCATGGACCCCCTGGGTTCCACAGCCTTGGGGGGTTACCACATATCCCCAGGGCTCACTCCATCCCCCCCAGGGGTTCACCCCACATCTCCAGGGACTACCCCATGCTCACAGTACTCATCTCGTGCTGCTTGGGAGTCATCCCATGTCCCTAGTGTCACCCCACATCCCCAGGACTCACCCTATGTGCCCAGGGGCTCACCCCACATCCCTAGGGCTCACTCCATGTTCCCAAGGGTTCACCCCACATCCCCAAGGCCCATACCATGTTCCCAGAGGGTTGCTCCCACATCCCCAGGGGTTACCCCACACCCCAGGGGCTTACCCCACATCCCCAGGGCTCACCCCATGTTCCCAGGGAGTCACTCCATGTTCTCAAGGGCTCACCCCATGTTCCCAAGGGCTCCCCCCACATGCCCATGGCTCATCCTATGTCCCCAGGGCTCACCCCATGTTCCCAGGGAGTCACTCCACCTTCCCAAGGGCTCACCCCATACCCCCAGGGGCTCACCCCACATCCCCAGGGGCTCATCCCACATGCCCAGGGGCTCACCCCACATCCCCAGGGCTCACCCCATGTTCCCAGGGAGTCACTCCGCCTTCCCAAGGGCTCACCCCATACCCCCAGGGGCTCACCCCGCATCCCCAAGGGCTCACCCCATGCCCCCGGGGGGTTCAGCGGGGGCCGTGGTACCCCCCGTGGAGCCCCGGTCCCCCCGGCGGCGTGCCTGTGCCGGGGCCCCCCACGCAGGTGGTGGCGTGCGGCTGGCGAACGGGAACGGGAGCTGCCGCGGGCGGGTGGAGGTGCGGCACCGCGGCACCTGGGGCACCGTCTGCGACGACGACTGGGACTTCCCCGACGCCCAGGTGGTTTGCCGGCAGCTGGGCTGCGGGGCCGCCCTCGCCGCCACCGTCCTCAGCTCCTTCGGCTACGGCAGCGGGCCCATCCTGCTGGATAACGTGGGCTGCGGCGGCGGCGAGGCTCGGCTGGCCGACTGCTTCCACCTGGGCTGGGGGCAGCACAACTGCGGCCACCACGAGGACGCCGGGGTCATTTGCCGAGGTGAGAGCGGGAGCGAGTCCGGTGGCCACCTGGTCCCACCTGAGGGTCTTCCATCGTCAGTTGGGTGGGAGAAGGGGAATGGATGCAACAGCCCACCGGGTCTCTGCTGAATCCTGACTCGATGGCGTGGAAATCCAATGAGATAAGTTGGTGTGGGGAGGATTTTGGCCATGCTCAGGCTGGCTGTGGGAAACAGGGTTCCCAAAATGGGGTGGTAGATGAACATGAGCCCCCAGACCCTGGGGTTCCTCCTGCCCACGGGGGGATAGCAGAGGTGGTCAGGTGGTGTGGTGCCTGGTGATGTCTGGAGCTTGGGTTCCACCTCTGGTCTCTGTTTGTGCACTTTCCTGGAAGGAGAGTGGCTGCACATCCCACCCCACACGTCCCTGCATCCATCCCCAGCCAGCCCCACACTGCTGCTGGGGGGGGGGCTGTGACCCAGCCCTGAGGGGCACAGGTGTCCCCTGAGTCACTTTTCCCACCTCTTCCCCATCGCACCAGGTGCTGATGATGATGGAGACCATTTCGAAGAAGCCACCACTACAACCACCACATCGGCTCCGATTCGTCCCAAGGATGGTAGGTACTGAGGTATCACCAGGGACACGGTGCCAGCCCTGGGGACGCTCAGCACTGGCATAGGGTGGAAATGGAGGTGGCTTGGGCAGAGCCCAGTGGCTTTGATGCCTGAAGCATCAAACTGGAGCAGCCTGCAGGAGGAGGAAGAGCCATGTTGGTGGCACTGTTAAGCCATGGCCTTTCCTGGTGCCCCCAAGGCTGGTCTAGGCAGAGGAGGTGATGGACCTCAGGTGATGGACCTTGGTGGGGAGAGGAGATGGTGGACCTCAGTGGGGATAGAAGGGGATGGACCAACAGGGCTGAGCCAGGAACAGAGACTATTGCCTGTTGCTTCAGTCTGAGCATCCACCATGACACTTTGGGGGTCAACCCCAGCTCTGATGCCGGCAAGTGGTCACCCTCTCGTGATCCTCCTGCCTATGCAGAGGCCGTGGTGGAGCTGTGGGCTGCAGCAAACATCTGCCTAGCCTTGGAGAGACCAGTTCTCTTCTTGCCCTGAGGCCACCTGGCCAAGAAGGGCCCCTTTTCTGCCAGCCCAGTGGGTGCTGCTAACCCAGGGTGGTGGTGGCAGTCAGGGAGAGGAGGACACAGCGCTGGGGTGGGCTGCCCCTGGGGCTGTCTCACCCCATCCCCTTTCCTAGGGTCCCTGCGCCTGGTGAACGGCAGCCACCGGTGCGAGGGGCGGGTAGAGATGTTCTACCTGTCCCAGTGGGGGACGGTGTGTGACGACGCCTGGGACCTGCGGGACGCCAAGGTGGTGTGCAGGCAGTTGGGTTGCGGGCACGCCGTGGCGGCCTGGGGGGAGGCACACTACGGTCAGGGCACCGGCTACATCTTCCTCGACAACCTCAAGTGCAAGGGCCACGAGCCCTCGCTGCTGCGCTGCTCCCACATCCGCTGGGACGTCCACAACTGCGACCACTCCGAGGACGCGGGGGCCGTCTGCGGCATCCTATGACCACCCACCCACCAGGACCCTCGTGCAGGTACGGAGGGGACGGGGGACAGCGAAGGGAGCTGGTGGCAATGCCCATGGAGAGGAGCTGAACCCTGGTTGCTGCTCGGGGACACTCACTCTCTGCCTCAGTTTCCCTACTCGCCCCACAGGGGCACTGGCTGGGTCCCCCGTGGGTGTTTGGGCTCTGAGGGTGGGAAGAGCTGGGTGGACACGGGGTTTTCCTCAGCTCCTGAAATACTGGCAGAAGCTTTTCCCCCCCTTTGGAAAAACAAACCCATTTTTGGTGTGAAATCTGGTTGCTTTCAGCCATTTCATTTAAGAGATGGGGAGAGAAAAATGGATTTTCTGCTGTGAAAATGAAGTTAGATTATACTTGGGAAATGTAAAAAAGGGCTGTAATCAAACCAGGGTATTCCAGTGGCTCTGCAGTGAGTTGCTGCTTTTCTGCAATTTGCTTTGCAAAGCTCCCAGCAATCTGAACATCAGGTTTTTCTTCTCATTTTGGTGGAAGAAATGCTGGGTCCTCCCCAATTTCCATGCAGCAGGAATGCAGGTGTCGGATCTCACACCGTCTCCAACCCCACCCCGCTTCCCAGTTGCCCAGTGTTTCTTCCTCATGCCCATTTCATCTCCTATTTCTTTTCCCAACGCCACTGGGTTTGTGGAGAGTCCACGGGGACCACCGGTCCCTGCCCAAAAAAGCCCTTGGGGAGCAGGGAGGGACTGAGCACCCCACATCTTCCCCATCCTTCCTCCATCCTGCGTGGTCCAGACCAGCTCTGGCTGCTCCTTCCCAGTAGCTCCATGATGCTCCATGCTCCGAGGTGGCTGGGACAGGCAGGGAGCCTTCAGACAGGGCAGGAGCAGACAGAAAACCCTAGCGAAGACCCCAAATCCCTGCCAAGCACAAAGTGGGGCTGAATCCAGGACCCCAAACCCTCCCTGGTGCTCTGGTTTTGGGGTGAAAGCCGTTTCCCTCCCAGCTCAGGTGGAAGGACCCAGCCCGCAGCACCAGCCGCCTTCGCCATCAGCCCTCTCTGACGTCTGAGGAGACACCAGCCAAACATCTTTGTGCTCTCCTCGACGGGGTGCCAGGGGGGGACGGGCTCGTGTGGCGGCGCAGAGCGGGTCCCAGCTGCCCCCTCCGCCGCACCCGCTCCTCCGGTGGTGCAATTCTTTTGTTAATAATAGATTGTGTATATTCCTGGGGTTTCCCTCACCCCCCCCCACCCCATTTTTCTTATATGTGTTGGGGTTTGTTTTGGGAATAAATAAAAGCCCGTTGAAAGTGTGCTGAGACCCGATTTCCTCCCCTCCCACCCCCTCGAAACCCGGGCAGGAGCAAATAGCTGGGGAACCAGTGATGCCCCGAGCCCAGAGGACGAGGGCTCAGCTCTTGCTGCCAAAAATTGATGCAAATATTTCCCTTGATGGCCTTTGATTCCCACCCAGCTGGGAGCAGAGCTCGGACCCTTCCCCACCCCAGCTCCAGGGGTACATCCCTGATCCCCAGCTGGCTTGTGGGGGGGGGGGGGGGGAGGTTGGGTCGGGCTCCGGGCTCGACGGGGTGCCAGGGGGGGACGGGCTCGTGTGGCGGCGCAGAGCGGGTCCCAGCTGCCCCCTCCGCCGCACCCGCTCCTCCGGTGGTGCAATTCTTTTGTTAATAATAGATTGTGTATATTCCTGGGGTTTCCCTCACCCCCCCCCACCCCATTTTTCTTATATGTGTTGGGGTTTGTTTTGGGAATAAATAAAAGCCCGTTGAAAGTGTGCTGAGACCCGATTTCCTCCCCTCCCACCCCCTCGAAACCCGGGCAGGAGCAAATAGCTGGGGAACCAGTGATGCCCCGAGCCCAGAGGACGAGGGCTCAGCTCTTGCTGCCAAAAATTGATGCAAATATTTCCCTTGATGGCCTTTGATTCCCACCCAGCTGGGAGCAGAGCTCGGACCCTTCCCCACCCCAGCTCCAGGGGTACATCCCTGATCCCCAGCTGGCTTGTGGGGGGGGGGTGGGTGAAGTTGGGTCCGGCTCCAGGTGTTTTCCCAGTGGGATTTGGCAGCCCCGTGGGCTGGGGGGGGGCTGCTGAAGCGGGTGGCGTTGCCGCTGTGCGGCTGTACGGGCTCTGCAGTGCTGACGGCAGTAAATCCGGTGCCGCTCGTTAACGAGCAGATGGGAAGAGAGAAACTGTCCTGGGAGCTGCAGCCCCTGCTGCTGCTGCTGCCTGCAGGGCCAGGCTGTGACCGTGGGGCTGGGGACCCCCGAGATGGTTGTCCCCCAACTCGGCGAGTCTTTTCTGCACCCCGATCTCTGGTAGCGATGGCCGGAGCAGCAGCGTGCTGTGAGATGGCACGTCCCAGCCACCGGGCCCCTAGGACACTTGGGGACATGTCCCTGAGCAGCTCCCAGGCTGACGCGGGTCTCCTTGGGTGTCCTTGGCCCCGTGCTCCAGCAGCCAGCATCAGGATGACGTTTGCCACCTCTCCCACCGCTTCCCGTGGGCAGGGCTTGCCCAGCACTTTGCTCCTAGTCCAGATTTCCACCAGTGGGGAAACTGAGGCACAGAAGCATCTTCCAGGCAGGCCACGGAGGTGCAATTGGACCCTGGGAGAGGGCAGGGAAGTGGCATGTGAATAAAACCTCTTTTTTTACTGGGTTTCCAGATCCTGCACTCTTGGTTGCCCACCCCTCTGCCTCCTCATCCCCCCTGCTGCCACCACCAGCTCCCGCCTCGCCTCCTGCCTCTGGGACAGCTGGGGGATGCCTGGGTCCTGCTGGGAGCAGGAGGGGGACTGTCTCCAGCAGCCCCCGGACATCCCCCTCCTCCAGCCAACACCAGCTGGGATTGGGTCAGAAGGTGCTGTGGGCTCCACCAGCTTTGCCTCCCCCTCCCTGTGGCTATGGAAGGTGGGGAGGGGGCTGGTGGCCAGGAGATGATGAGAAAGGCTGGCTGGGTTTTCCATGTTTTCCTTGGGGACTGTGCCGTGAGCTGGTGTTTGGTGTTACCCCACACCCTGCTCCTCTTCATTTTGGGCTGGGAAGAGCAGGTCCCGCTCGCCCTGGGCTTCTCCCTCCTGCAATCCAGCAAGGAAAGGGTTTCCAGCCAGGAGATGCAGCAGCCTTCTCCCTTGTCTTCCAGCCCTTTCTCCTGCAGACAGGGCTTGAGATGCTGCTGGGATCCACAGGAATCCCCCCCAGACATTCCATGCCCAAGATGGGCATCGTCTCCATGGAAGCAGGGAGTGACAGGCAGGGTGGGAGCAGGGTACCAGCACGGGGGATGCCCCCCCCCTGGAGCAGGGTATGAGCAAGGGGGATACTCTGCCCCTGCCCCTAGAGCAGGGTACCAGTGCAGGGGATGCTCTACCCTTGGAGCAGAGTACCAGCACGGGGGATGCCCCCACCCTGGAGCAGGGAATGAGCATGGGGGATGCTCTGCCCCTGGAGGAGGGTACCAGCACGGGGGATGCTCTCCCCCTGGAGCAGGGTATGAGCACTCGGGATGTTCTGCCCCTGGAGCAGGGTATAAGCACGAGGGATGCTCTGCCCCTGGAGGAGGGTACCAGCACGGGGGATGTTTTGCCCCTGGAGCAGGGTACCAGCATGGGGGATGCCCCCACCCTGGAGCAGGGTATGAGCACTCGGGATGTTCTGCCCCTGGAGGAGGGTACCAGCACAGGGGATGCTCTGCCCCTGGAGCAGGGTATGAGCACTCGGGATGTTCTGCCCCTGGAGGAGGGTACCAGCACGGGGGATGTTTTGCCCCTGGAGCAGGGGACCAGCATGGGGGATGCCCCCACCCTGGAGCAGGGGATGAGCACTCGGGATGTTCTGCCCCTGGAGGAGGGTACCAGCACGGGGGATGTTTTGCCCCTGGAGCAGGGGACCAGCATGGGGGATGCCCCCACCCTGGAGCAGGGGATGAGCACTCGGGATGTTCTGCCCCTGGAGGAGGGTACCAGCACGGGGGATGTTTTGCCCCTGGAGCAGGGGACCAGCATGGGGGATGCCCCCACCCTGGAGCAGGGGATGAGCACTCGGGATGTTCTGCCCCTGGAGGAGGGTACCAGCACAGGGGATGCTCTGCCCCTGGAGGAGGGTACCAGCATGGGGGATGTTTTGCTTGGGTGTCCTTGGCCCCGTGCTCCAGCAGCCAGCATCAGGATGACGTTTGCCACCTCTCCCACCGCTTCCCGTGGGCAGGGCTTGCCCAGCACTTTGCTCCTAGTCCAGATTTCCACCAGTGGGGAAACTGAGGCACAGAAGCATCTTCCAGGCAGGCCACGGAGGTGCAATTGGACCCTGGGAGAGGGCAGGGAAGTGGCATGTGAATAAAACCTCTTTTTTTACTGGGTTTCCAGATCCTGCACTCTTGGTTGCCCACCCCTCTGCCTCCTCATCCCCCCTGCTGCCACCACCAGCTCCCGCCTCGCCTCCTGCCTCTGGGACAGCTGGGGGATGCCTGGGTCCTGCTGGGAGCAGGAGGGGGACTGTCTCCAGCAGCCCCCGGACATCCCCCTCCTCCAGCCAACACCAGCTGGGATTGGGTCAGAAGGTGCTGTGGGCTCCACCAGCTTTGCCTCCCCCTCCCTGTGGCTATGGAAGGTGGGGAGGGGGCTGGTGGCCAGGAGATGATGAGAAAGGCTGGCTGGGTTTTCCATGTTTTCCTTGGGGACTGTGCCGTGAGCTGGTGTTTGGTGTTACCCCACACCCTGCTCCTCTTCATTTTGGGCTGGGAAGAGCAGGTCCCGCTCGCCCTGGGCTTCTCCCTCCTGCAATCCAGCAAGGAAAGGGTTTCCAGCCAGGAGATGCAGCAGCCTTCTCCCTTGTCTTCCAGCCCTTTCTCCTGCAGACAGGGCTTGAGATGCTGCTGGGATCCACAGGAATCCCCCCCAGACATTCCATGCCCAAGATGGGCATCGTCTCCATGGAAGCAGGGAGTGACAGGCAGGGTGGGAGCAGGGTACCAGCACGGGGGATGCCCCCACCCTGGAGCAGGGTATGAGCAAGGGGGATACTCTGCCCCTGCCCCTAGAGCAGGGTACCAGTGCAGGGGATGCTCTACCCTTGGAGCAGAGTACCAGCACGGGGGATGCCCCCACCCTGGAGCAGGGAATGAGCATGGGGGATGCTCTGCCCCTGGAGGAGGGTACCAGCACGGGGGATGCTCTCCCCCTGGAGCAGGGTATGAGCACTCGGGATGTTCTGCCCCTGGAGCAGGGTATAAGCACGAGGGATGCTCTGCCCCTGGAGGAGGGTACCAGCACGGGGGATGTTTTGCCCCTGGAGCAGGGTACCAGCATGGGGGATGCCCCCACCCTGGAGCAGGGTATGAGCACTCGGGATGTTCTGCCCCTGGAGCAGGGTATAAGCACGAGGGATGCTCTGCCCCTGGAGCAGGGTACCAGTGCAGGGGATGCTCTGCCCCTGGAGCAGGGTATGAGCACTCGGGATGTTCTGCCCCTGGAGGAGGGTACCAGCACAGGGGATGCTCTGCCCCTGGAGGAGGGTACCAGCATGGGGGATGTTTTGCCCCTGGAGGAGGGTACCAGTGCAGGGGATGCTCTGCCCCTGGAGCAGAATATGAGCACGGGGGATGCTCTGGCCCTGGAGGAGGGTACCAGTGCAGGGGATGCTCTGCCCCTGGAGCAGAATATGAGCACGGGGGATGCTCTGCCCCTGGAGCAGGGTATGAGCATGGGGGGTTGCCAGTGGTGTGAGAGCATCCTGCTGTGGGAGCACAGCCAGGCCGCGGCGGCTGCGTGGGAGCCAGGAGAAGCCGCGGTGCCTGCCCGGCTCCTCTCCTCTTGCCGACGTCAGCTGTTTCACCGAGCCTGGAGCAGCTGCAGCTCCACACTGGTCGATGCCATCGATTAGTTCCTCTCCCCATCCCTGGAGAGGGGACAGTGCTGGGGGTGGCAGGGGGGGAGAGAATAAATATTTCAGCAGGCTCGGGCAAAAGCTGGGGTTATTTTGGGGCTGGGATTTATGGGCTATTAGGAATAAGGAATGAGTCTGTGCTGGGGAGAGGAGACCCATTAATCCAGGCTGAAGGAGCACAAATGAGCAAGGGGAAATGGAGGAGGCTTTAATTATTTCACCGTGTTCCAGAATAATAAGCCGGCTCTCCAGCCAAGCGCTTGCATGGGGCTCGGGAGCTCTGCTC